CTTCTTTCAGTACTAACCACCATCAGAAATAAATCCACTGTGGTGTTAAAACATAGCTTGTATTTAAAGGTCTCTAAGTATGATTCAGAACTAAAAGTCTAGAAGCAGCCTGTTATTACAAAAGAATCAGCTCTTAACAGCCTCCTCCGTAGCTGAGCAGAAAGACCAGGAGTGCTGTTGTAGTTCTCTCTGGAACTAAGTAGCTGGCTTGCTAGGGGTGCATCCCTTCTTCCCTCAGACCTGAGGACTGATCTGAAAAGTGAGGGATTGGATTGGAAGTTCTGTAAGACCCTTGCCAGCCTGGGGTTAGATGGCCCTTTCCAGTACTGCTGCAGGTATTGCTCTGCTCTGAGTTTTGCTTCTTCACATCTTGGTGAAGACCAATTGTACTGCCAGGTCATCAGGACATGAGTTAGCCTTATCTGCTAAAACCCTCCTTCTTGTTATAGTGAGCCACCGATGGTGACATCTCAGTGCTCCTCTACACGGTACGGTGCTTCATTTGGACTATCCTCATCCCGTTTTTGTCTTAAAAAATTCGTATAGTTCTTTAATCAGAAATAAAGTGTCTCCTCCTCATGAAGTCGTTAACACTCCACTAGGCCGCTAGTCAACTCTTTGCATGGCACTTTGAACGTGTCCTATTGTGACCTCATCTGTGTCCACCTTTGTCATTTCTTCTACTATCTAGGGGGCTCCTTAGGGGCAAAGTGTGTGAGCTCTTCTCATACTGGACGTTCAGGGAATGCTTCCTGCATAGAACAGAAGTTCTGCAATTCAGAGTCTCTGTACAGAAAAGGCTTTCCCAGAAGAGTCCCCTGTGAGACACTGAGCCCTCAGTAGAGCACGTTCAGCTGTTTTCCCCTTAGAGACAAAGCTATGGAGGCACAGAGCAATGGAACAAAAATAATCCCATGGTTGCTCAGCTCATGAGGAGCTTGAGACGGGGACTGAGGCTCAGGTATTGATTCTGAAGCTGTTGTTTTCTTCCTGTCTTTGACACTGCCCCCCGCATACGTGCAGCAACATGGGTTTGAGATACAGGGTCTCTCTGTATTATCTTTGGAGCTTTTCTGCAAATATGACTATTCTAAAATGAAGTATATTTAAAGAGAGAAAGTAGAGGACGGAGCCATAATATGTTATTGATGGAAATGCAAAATTGCACAGCCACACTGGGAAACAATCTGGCGGTTTCTCATAAAGTCAAACATACACTTAGCATATGATGTCGCAGTTACACTACTTGCTATTTGCCCAAGTGAAATCAAAAGCTCTTTTTGCACCAAAACTGGTGCACAAATACCTAGTAAAAGTTCACGCACAATTCCTAAAAATTGGAGACAATTCAGACAACCCTCAATTAGATAGAGGAAGGATAAATGAACTTCAGCGTACCCGTATGGTAAAATACTGTTCAGTAAAGGGGAACAACTTATGGAGATACACAACAGCACGGAGGAATGCACTGTGCTAAGTCAGAGAAGTCAGACTCTAACAATCTACAAACTGTGTGGACGCTTACACGCCATGGACATGAAACAGACCTTGCCAGGTTATGGGGATGGGAGTACGAGACAGAGGGAGACATGGGGTGTTAGGAAGTGACAGAACTGTGCTGCGTCTTGGTGATGGCTGTGATTACCTGACTGTACTTACTCACTGAAACTTGCAGGACTGCACACCAAGAAAGGTGACATCACTTGTGTAAATTACAACCTTCATTTAAAAATAAAGGGGAAAATCTCATGGTTGATTGCCACTTTTCAAAATTCCTTTCCCCCAAGAGGTTGCTTACATAGTGTTCTCACGTAATACCTTTGTGCGGGCTTTGTTTCCAAACACTCAGTTTGTGCTGTTTTATGTGAATATTACTGTTCCACTTGCCGTGCAGAGATTCGTTCCTGGGTGCCAGGGTCCAGGGAAGCAGACACAGACGGCAGAGTCAGAGACCTGAGCACAGACAGCCAGGCTAGTGTCTGAACAGTCCTGATGTTGGCTAATTGCTCTTTAACTGCCTGCTTTTGATACAGTCAGTAGCTGAGTAGTCCCTACTCTTATGCTAGCCTTCCAGTTTATGGAGCCTTTCACATACGTCCACTCCTGTGATCCACATAGTACCTGTGCCACTCAGGGGAGGCAAGTGTTGTCCTTGCCACTTTAAAAGGAGAGCAAGATGCAGAATTCTCACCTTTGAGTGCCTATACTGTCTGTTTTGGACCTCTCGATAGTTTGCCAATTCTAAAGGCATGGCAGTTCATTGTAATACATATGACTGTCTCACAGAAAAGGAAACTGAGGTTCTGGGAAGCTCCCAAGCCTAATGAGTATTAGAACCAAGAGTTTGGAACCAACATGTTCTGGTTCCAAGTCTACTTCCCTTTCTGAGGTACTGGGGTGTGGTGTTGAGACTTTTAGGAAGAGTACACTTCAGTTAACGGTATTTTACTGTGAATGCCACACCATTAATATACTAATAAGTGGACAATTTTAACTGGCTCCTTTATCAGATCTAGATTTCTATAAGTAAAATCTGCTTTTTCTGTTGTCATCTCCAATAGAAACTTTGGGAGCTTGGAAGACACACTGTAATCTCTGTGTTTCTCTTGGCTTCTGGTGTTTGAGTAGGATCTGGATGCATGAAAACACTGTGTATGCTGGAAGCTACAACTCCCAGGAAAAAGGGTTCATCACTGTAAACATAAGAAGGAGTTTTCAACAAATACTAAAACGTTTACATCAAAATTAGTATTTTTTTGAAGAGACTTGCTCTGAGAGGCCACCCAATTTAATTGCTTTGTAATGTCTCCTTTTTGTGCAAGACAGTAATGCCACTCTCCTATCAGGTTTAGTTGTGAATCCCTTTTCCTCATATCCTTGATGGTCTCTGAGCTCCTGGGTAGGCTGGACCTTCTCGCAGCGTCCCCAGAATCCAGCCCTGAGCCTGGCTTACCCTGGTGCTCCGGCCATATTTACTGAGTGGAACTGAACCCTGACTCACTCATCTAGGCCTCAGCTGTAACTAGGGGTCTCTGGAAGTCCCCGTGTACACCCCTATATTTTTCTTTGGAGTGCCTGTTGGATGTTGCCTTCTACTTCCCCGTCTTCTGTTTTCTTATTTATTTATTTACTTTTGCAATTCTGGGGATGGAACCAGGCCCTTACACATACCAGGCAAGCATTCTACCACTGAGATGTACCCCGCCTCCCTTTAAAAAATATTATTGACAGAATCTCATTAAATAGCTCAGGCTGGCCTCAAATCTCCTGTCTTCCTGCTTCAGCTTCACAAGTAGCTGAGGTTGCAGGTGTGTGTCACCATGCCTTAACTCCCTTATCAACATCTTAAAGGAAAGTATTTTCTAATACTTGAAAGGGAAACACCAATGGGTGAGTGAAACTAAAACTACTACCGAAGGAAAATGAAAAGTTCCACTCCCTCTTGGTATTTGAGCTAATGTAGAAGAATATGTGTGGGTCTTGTTCCAAGCCCATGAGAAACAGATGTGTGTGCTCCATCTTTGCAGAGCGGTCACCTCCAGGAGGTACTTTGTTCTTACCACCTGAGGAGAAGTCCTCTGCACTAGGAGTCAGAAACCCGACTCCATCGCTAAATTGTGAAAGCTGGAATAGAGAACCAGCTTACACAGCCTCGGCACTCAGGCCGGCTCAACCCCGAGCTCAGTTCCGGAATTGTTCTTCCCCTCAGGCCCGAGGCTCTCTTCCGAGATGACCCTCACTTCGGGCTGACAGGGCTCTTTAGCCTTTTGGGGTGTGAGTGTCATCTTGTGTCTTCAGCCTGGGAGCCCTGAGGGGCGGTGATCATCAGGACTGCCTTCTGCTTTCTTCCTCAGTGCCTGGCATCAAAATCTATACACAGTGGCTCTACAGAGGATTTTGGAAGGAAGTCTCTTAGGCCAAAAAGGGCCTCAGCTTACAGTACAAGCTTTCAGAGGCTAGATGGCACTGTTGCTAGAGTCAAGTCAGGTGTGCTCTGCACTAGCCCGGTGAGGAGGAAAGGGGAATGGAGACAGCAGGGGCCTGCAGTCCTTCCTTGCTGGGAATGCTTGGGACTCACTAGGCACGGTGAGCCAACTCCTACCTGACCACCACAGCTGCTTTGCCATTTCCTGGGCACCTTTGCAAGTGTGGCTCTGGGAGGTCTTTAGCACCGTCTCCTGTGGCAGGCAGGACAGTTGTCTCAGTCCTGGCTTTACAAAATGGTAGCTCAGAACGTTTGAGTCCCTGAACTAAATTTGTACAGCAGTTATACAGCGGGACTTTTTACCATTCGTGCCTCCCGGCTTCACCTCCTTAAGGAATTCTTCAGAGCAGGAGGGCTGTGCTAATGGTGCCCGGTCCCCGAACTTGCCCCATCTGATGGGGAGAGGGAGATTCACTCAGTCCGCTTGACTGCGTGGGTCACCCTGACCTACACCTCTGGATGTCTGCATATTCGAAGAAGGGAGAATGCAGTCACTTTGGAGGAAACAAATGATACTCCACATGGGCTCTGGAGAATAAAACTTTGTTCAGTCTTCAGGATCTAGAGTCAGTGGTTGAGGTTATTCAAGCATAGTCTCTTTCTAGGCCTCTCCCTGGTAGCTGTGTACTTCCTGCCACTCATCCATCACTTTGCCGTGTTCCTGTGTTTCAACAAACAAACTCTGTGCAGTGGCCAGGGCAGATTCTGCTGCTGTGGCCACTTTACAGATGAAGAAGTAGAGGGTCCAGACGTGAAGGGTCGGGATATGCCCAGGGTCCCACAGCTGACAAGTGGCTGAACTAGAGCGTCAGCTCAGAGTGGAGCTGAACTCAAACCATGCCCTCTTTGCACTGTGGTTTTGCCGAGCTATGTCAGCTCATCTAGAAATTACAAAATTAGGAATTCTGTGGATATGGAAGGAGAAGTTATAGGGTGGCAAATGATGCTATGCAAATTTTGAGAGCAAAATCATATCTGTTCTTTTTGACTTCTGATTGTTCTGTTCCTCCTCCAGGATGATGACGAAGATAAACTGAGCTGGAAGGACCGGTTCCCAGGTTACTTGATGAACTTTGCCTCCATCTTGTTCATGGTAATGTCCCAGGGACCTCCTGCCTGTGACCGTGAGCGTGTAGAGCCCACTTGGAAGCCTGTGCATGTTTATTCTTTGTTTTGTGGAAATGATAAGGGGCTGGGAAATGTGGAGCCGAGGGCCTCTGAAGAGAAACAACAGCTTACCCAATAGTGAGGCCACTGACCTCACATGTCTGAGGTCGGAGCTTCCAAAGTGGGTTGGGAGATGGTACCTTCACCTGCCAACCCTAGAACCTGGAGGGAACTGCAAAAAAGAGGGCTGCAGAGTTGTGGCAGCTTGTTTGGGATGTGGGTGGCTCTCTCTGATGGTTTATGGAGTGCAACTGTGTCTGGATGCCACAGGAGACAGCCAGCTGGGCTGTAAGTCTGATTCTTTAGTGTCCCCGTACAGTAGTTCTGTGTTTATTTCCCTGTGTTCTTCCATACAGTTTTGTAGAGCCTTTCTGCAAGACCCAGATGGCCTCAGCTGTGAAGCAGAGGGAAGAGCCTGCGATTCAGACTGAGTAGATCAGGGTAGTAGCTCCTTCCCGGGAGCTGGGCTGGGTAAGATGGCAGTGACATGGGCCAGACTTCAGGGAAAGGAAACACAAGTTGGAGGAGGGGAGGGCACTCCCCCACCAGTCCTTCTCCATGGGGAGATTCCTACGTGGGAGCAGGTGTTTGGCTTTCAGAGGAGTGTGTGTCAGGACAGCGCAGAGCATCTTGAAGCAAGGCTTCACATTCCTAGCAGGGTGGAAGAGGGATTATTTGTTCCCAAACTTAGGACTGCAGAATCAGTGTGATTCTCTGGCCCTCGGATCGGAGGTAAGTAACCCTAACCCTGGAGCGAAGTTATTCTTGCCAGTGTCATTGTCATTGTGACTGCTGAGGTGGGAACTATATCCCACTCTCCGAAATTTAAGAAGTGAAGGAAACTTAGACAACGTCCAGCTCAACTCCTTATTTTGCACCTGAAGTGAGACTTGTCAGAGTTTAGCAGTCTAAATTATTCTCTTCACATTGTCTACTGAGTTTGAGGCCTGTAGATTTATCCAGGAATGTGTGGTGAGTGGCACTGGGCTAAGCTGGAATGATACAAAGTTTAATTTAGCTCTTCAAAGCCTCCCACAGTGTGGACATTGTTGCCAAAGACTTCATTCATTCATTCAAAAAATATTTAATGGGTGGAACTATGTGCTCAACACTATTCTTAGGCACTGGGTAAAGCAATAAACAAAACAAAATAATCCTTCCCTTTAAGAGTTTACAGCTGGTAAATTTGTAAGTACGTAAGTAAGTAAAATTCCATCTCCAGTAGTGGTGAATTAGGGTATTTGGACCATCTTATTTTGCTGAAATCAATTTAAAAATTGGATAAACACATTTTTCAATTTTCTTAAAACTTTAAAAGGCTGGCATGCTGGTAATAATACTAGGTTAAAAGTCTAGGGGTAGCTGGGACCCAAGGAAACAAATACCTTGACATTAATACTGCTTTTCTCACCTAGGCAAATTTCGTTTTGCAGAAACTAGGAGAACTGAAATAAAGGACTGTGCCTGGCTCAGAGTGGGGAAAATTTTCACAGCAAGTGTAATTCACAAAGGAATAGTCTCAAAATATATAAAGATTACAAACCAATGGAAAAAGACAATACAAAAAGAATAGAGAAAACTTGAATAGGTTTTTGACAAAAGAGGAAATTCAAATGGCCAATAAACCTCAGAAAGAGTATTCAGTCTCATTAACAACCATAGAAATTCTAATTTAAGCCACTATGAAATACCAACAAATAGCATGGCATTAAAAAACCTGTCAATAACAAGGAAAGCTCATGTGTGTGCACAGCAAAATACATGTAGAAAAAATGCTGTTTGTCATAATCCCAGACTGGAGAGAGTCCATATGCCCACCCTCAGATGAATGGCTAAATAAAGTGATGTATATTTACACAAGTAATTTATAGTCATGAAAACAGGCAAACTGATATAAGCGCAATATGCAATACAGTGGGAGAAAAAAACCAAGACAAAAGAATATATAGTTTGTTTCTGTTCATACAAAGTTCAGAAAAGACCACCCTAAATGAAAGTACACACACCCAAGTTAAAGCACTACAGAGATGAGCAGGAAGTGCCTGGCATGGATTCCGGCGCCCTGGTCTGCATCCGGAGCAGGCGTGGGGAGGAGAGGAAGTGATGGGCTGGGTGTGTGGAGGTGCTGCCCACGTGCGTCTGGGTTGTGCTGGACGATGCTTCACTCACTCAACTGCGTGTGCCTGGTCTGAAATGAGTGTTTCTGTACGTTCACAGTGAAATTAAAAACACACAACGTATGCATTAGACAGATTGGGCAGAGGAGTCCTCATTGAGAAGATTTTAGCAAGGTTCAGGAGGAGGCAAAGGCGTCAGTCACATGGATGTTTAACAAATACTAAAAACTAGGTCAAAAATGGATCATCCTACCAAAGCTTCTGTTCATTCATTCTGATTCTCTCTCTCTCTCTCTCTCTCTCTCTCTCTCTCTCTCTCTCTCTCTCT